AGTTTCTCCATATAGTAAATAACCATTATATAGTAATTTTTATTCGTACTAAATGTTGGGTCTTTTAATTTAAAATGCCCAAAAATTCTTATTTTGTTCGATCTGGCCATAATGGAAAATGTTATAGAAAACTCTTATTTTGAGGCGCTCTCACATTTAAATAAGTTGAACATCCCTTTATTCCTGGTGTTTAGTATACATAGCTACGAATAGCGGAAATTTATTTCTGGAGAGATTTATAATTATTGTTTAAACCATACATGGTTGTATTTTCCTGGCACAGGGCAGAAGATACCTATCTTTTATTACTTATGTTTTTCCTCGTTCCTGAATAACTCCTTTAAGATGTAAGCCCTACTACGAAAAAGGATTATGGTCCTTCCATCTTGAAGGTTCCCACTGCTTCATATGTAATAATTGGTTTTACGATCATGGTATAAGATCTACATGCTTATGGCAGAGAACGTCTATCATAGAGAAGGTTCACGTTTCAAATATCGTAACTTTTTGAAGGGGTACTCGGCAGAGATGAGCCAGTTTCACCACAGACAAATTATAAGCGTGTTTCACCACGAAAGTAACAGAATTGAGCATTTTCAGTGTTAAATGAGAAAAATAATGCTAATTCCAATGTAAAGAAATTTACGCCCCGAGATTCGTTTATTTTCTACGCGCAACCGACACTTAATTTATATACATTTTATCCGTATATATTTGGTATCAAAACATATATTTAGTATAATTCCATAAAATCATTAAAAATATATAATAGAGTAAAGTTTGTATTATTATCCAAATAATTGATCTAAGTTAAGGTAATTAGTTTTAAATTTATACATTTTCCGGTCGCACATGTGCTCATATACATACATACATATGTGTGCATGTAAACAAATATGACAGACCATACGCATAATGTTTGTAAATTTGTCTACATGCAACATATATATGTAAATATGTACACTCAATGCTTCATRMGAAATCTCCGTTCACACGGTCAGCCAATGGCGAAGCTCACTTTTTGTCAAAGAGTCAATGTGGCGACAATGCGTCAAAATATTGTATTGTTGATAGAAAATCCGAGCTGTGCGAAAAAATATAAACGAACGGTCGCCGATTGTCACCGCTCCCTTGCCCCTGTACAGCTTCTCAAACAAACCRGCGTATATATGTATGTTTGTGTGTAAACTTGTATACATATCGACGCAGATTTTTGCAAGCCGCGTACAAATATTTTTTACATTCATGACAAATACGGTCAATCTCGGTTATATGCAAGAATCTAAGATACAGATTTTTGTCGTTGGTTAAAAATAAGAATATAATATGGCACATAAGCGAGTGCGAATACTTAAGCGAGTGGTACTTAAAACAATAATTTCTATATATTTCTAAAAACGAACCGTGAGATGCAGCAAGATACATATAATATAGGCTGTTAAGAGTGTTGAGGGAGGAATTTGATTTTCATTTAAGCGGAGTACTACTTAAACGGGATTCACTGTACACATAAATCAGAGGAAGAATATTCAATACTTTCTTTGGCACATTTCTAAACTTGCAAATAGACAAATAATCTATGTTGTCAATTTTATTCTAATATATTTGAATACTTATATTTGCGGGGTTGTCACTTTTTCCTTCTCATACAAATATCAGAAATTGTTCAATTTATGATTCTTAACTTTGCCATCGTCGCGAAAAGACGCTTGTAGGCAAAGGCATGCTCGGGGAGATGTCATGGTGTTTGTTTTTATGAAWGAAGCAAGTTTGCCTGTTGAAAGTCGCTTGCGTTCATGAATGAAAATATTGTTGTTTTGTACTTTTCTACAAATTTGAGCATCGACTATTTATCTGCCATATTGACTTGTGACGCTGCTGATGCTATTTAGGACGTTTGTTGTTTTTGTAGAACAATATTTGTAGTTTATGCGAGTGACATACATACATATCGACATGTGATCGCATATAAGTATGTATGTTGTGTAGGGATTATTTATAGTATCATAGTATGTAGGTTTGTGTATGCGTTATTTGTGCCAATGTCATATGCACATATTAATGTATGTACATATGAGTAGCGCGAACTTGCTATTACTAATAACTGATAATATGATTTGAAATCGCGAAAGCGTACATAAGTTTTGATTGATAAAATATACGATTTATGTACATTTATCACTATTGTAATATATTTAATTTATTTAATATATTATTATAGTTTGTTACATATATACATATGTATGTTCATTCATTACTTCAGTGCACATAAGTATGAATATATCAAATGMAATAAATAATTAACATTAACTACGAATATTGGTTTGAAAAAGTAACTTAATTGAAATGWATTMYATTGCATCTGTATTCATAAATATGCACAAAACGAATTCTTTTGAGTATATACATACATATGTATGTTTGCATATAAACGTATAAAAATATAAGCAAAAGAGCGAACATACGTCTGTTAGAGCAATATATAGTTTTTTTTTTTCACGCTTAGCTCTGTTCAAACGAAAATGTAAAAATTTCTCCTGCCGAGCTGGCAGTGGTGAAACTGGCTCATCTCGACCGAGTTAGCCAAAAATATTTTTACGATCTCCGCGCCGTGAACCTTCTCTATGATAGACGTTCTCTGCTTCTGGTCCTTAAGTCAGGCTGGGATATTTCTCCAGTGAAAGGTGCAATGGTAATTTTTAACGGTGTGATATTTAATCTCACCCTATTCTTCGTACTCAATTATGAAGAAGAATGTAAAATGCAATATAATAAGGTGTGATAAGAAAATAACTAAACTTAAATGTCACAAGTCATCAGAAAGTTTATGCATACCATATCTTCAAATATTCAAATGAAATTTGAGAAATCTGCGCTTCAATGAAAACCCCATTTTTAATTAGCTACTATTGCAATCTTATCCCAAACATTGGGATTTCGGAATTTTTAATAGCCGCTTTAAGAAATCTAAAATCTTCACTCGCTAGAATTTAACATGTGCGTTATCTGAATCCTCTAGTAAACATTCTCACACCAGCGTTACCCTCCAAAGCTGTACAGAAAATACAATAAATAACAAAAAACGACTCAGCTGTTACCCAGCATTTTATAATCTCGAAATTTGCAATGATCAAAGCCGGAGAAATAGGATCAGGCAAAACTTTCCATTAAAAAATGTTGCATAAGAATTCAAGATTGTTTATTCTCCTAGAAGGCAAAGGGATTACAATCATATTTGCTTACTTATAAAGCTATTTTATAGATCGCAGAGTCACAAAGCCTCATTACTATATTTTGCTCTATATCGGAGATATTGGTATTAAAATAAACAAAGGTAATTCACTAAGGTAATAAAAAAATCTCTTACCCCATTTTATCCATTTTAGACAGAACTATTATATTAATTTCAATAATATAACTTATACATTTACCGATATTTTCGGTAAAGAATCACCCATAGAATTATATTTTCGATGTGATCAAATTTCTATTCATTTTCTAGTCGACACATGTAGACTCCAAACATCTCCAAATGGATTGAATCTGATCTCCTTCGAAGGTTCCCGAAATATGGATATCTGTAGTACTTTGAGGTTGTAACATCGGCTCGGATCACTATTATGTAGCAGCCACAATGCGCACTCGCCTCTGTGCACACAAGGAAGCCTCGATGTCGAAAAACTGCAATCACAACAGAAAGCCGAACGATTTTTTATTCGACTTGCACTCCTGCTCTCTGAGAAAACTCGTTAACATCTTGATACGGCGACTAACAGAAGATTTCAAAACCAGAGCACATTTCTCCAGCCTGCTGAATGGAAATGAAAGTATAAAGCTGCGAGAAGGCGAACTCGATTATTCAATTGAGGACGACGGAGATGAGGCGTTGCCCGACCATGAAGAGGTTCGAATAGCAATTACCCGCCTGAAGAACAACAAAGCGGCGGGGGCCGGTGGATTGCCGGCCGAGCTACTCAAACAGAAGAACTGATAAGGAGTATGCATCAGCTTATTTGTGAAATAACGACGAAAGCATGCCCAACGATTGGAATTTAAGTGTACTATGGGCAATCCACAAAAAAGGAGACCACAATCTGCGCCAACTACCATGGGATTAGCCTCCTCAACATCGCATACAAGGTTCTATCGAGCGTATTGTGTGAAAGATTAAAGCCCACCGTCAACAAACTGATTGGACCTAATCGGTGAGGCTTTAGACCTGGAAAATCGACAACCGATCAGATATTAGCCATGTGCCAGATATTGGAAAAGACCCATAAAAAAAGAATCGACACGCACCACCTCTTCGTCAATTTCAAAGCTCCTTTTGACAGCAGAAGAAGATCCTGTTACATGGTAGCCATGGACGATGACAACATCTTATTAGTCGACTTTAAGGGTTTTCCAGAGAAAGGTTCTGCGGAACATTTATGGTCCTTTGCGCATTGGCCACGAATATTGCATTCGATGGAGTGCTGAGATGTACAAGTTATATAACGACATTAACATAGTGCAGCGAATTAAGAGACAGCGGCTGGGCTAGCTAGGTCATGTCCTACGTATGGATCTGGTGGAAAAAGACCTGGCTTCGCTTGGAATTTTTTATTGGAGTTACGTTGCGAAAAGAAGAAACGACCGGTAATGTGTTGTTAACTAGGCTATAATCGCGGAAACCGTTTACTAAATATCATAAATAAATATCAAAACTAAATCAACTTTCAAAGTTTAAGTGGTTTTGATGTTTAACAATTTATTTTTTTTTTTTTTTATTTTATAAAAGCTTACATAATAATACAATTATTATACAAACTAAGAAAATACGCAGCACTAGCATCATGGGCTATCGGCCGCCCCCTGTTTAACAATTGTTCTCACATTTCCTATGAGATAAGATGAGAAGAGATGCTCGTAATATCTGGACATAAATATTGACGTACATTCGAGAGCTAGATAGCAATAGTAATTGCCAACTTTTAGGAATAAAGCAAGAAAATTTTAGTTCACCAGGTATCGATATTTATATTTAAACAACTAAATATTTTGCTTATTTTATCGATCACTACTGGGAGTAATTGTTTGGGTAAATTGCTGTTATGGAAAGGGAAAATAATTTCTGTGAAGAAAATGGCGAGCCAATGGCGAAAAAAATTAAAACAGAATGGGTTAAAAGTTATTCTGATAAGGCCCTGCTTATGATGACTAGGATGGGTTATGAGAAAAACAAAGGCCTCGGGAAGCAGAATCAGGGTCGTCTTGAACCCATTATAGCAGTTCAACAGGACGGCAGAAAGGGATTGGGTCTAAAAGATGAATGTCAAGTATCTTTAGAATCTTGGGACAACACTACTGAGATAATAAACCTCCCAGAAAATTATTCATGGATTACAAATAATGCGTCGCTCGAAATCACATTGGATGAATTAAAAGATAATATAACCTTAGGTCCTCCTAAACGTACGATTGATGACGAATGTTTATACTGTAATTCAGACATTTTAAATAATGTATTGAAAGCAAAATCTGAGTTTGACAAATTAAATGACAGCGAATTAAGAAGAGCGCGATCACGGTCTAATCCATTTGAAACTATACGTAGCTCCATATTTTTAAATAGAGCTGCTGTTAAAATGGCGAATATTGATTCTATGTGCGATTATATGTTCACAAATCCGAGATATAAGGACGGATCATCAATGCTGCAAAACAACGAACTTCTATATTTTGCCGATATATGTGCTGGTGAGTTGAAAATGTAATTATTGTCATAGATATGTGTATTCATTATGAGACCAAAAATTAGTTAAAAAATCTTCAGTTTTGTAGGTATTTCTTACATCACTATTTATATCAAAACAATTTATTAATAATTTATTTGTGTTAAGAAATATTCGATATATTTTTCACATTTTGTGATATTGCTTTTAATCAAATATAAGGTATAGTAAAAAATTAATTATTTTTCCTGGCTTTAGAAATCTATCTCGTTTTGTAGTAAGATTTCTACAAAAGAAAAAAAATGTGATTGCTTGACTCAGTCTTGTTTAAGCGCTCGTCAAAGATGGATCAACAGAATACTGGCAGCTAAAAATATACATAGGTAGAGTTTATGGTAAACCCGTAATTTCCATCGATTCAGTTCAAATAATTTTTAATGGCAAAGATCACGGAAAGCACGACGTCAAGAAAGCCTGTTTCAATTAACCAGATGTTAACATTGTACAAAATCTTTCGGAACTTTATAAATAAGTCAAGATATAAAAGGAACCTTCTTGTTTCGTTGTTACAAAAATTAACGAAAAAACCTTACTGCTCGAATTTCCAACTGCAAATCTTCCTTGAGTAGGGCAAGGTCGGTTGTTGTTGTTGTTTTAACGGTTATCTAATCTCCGTTTGGGTGGTAAGGGTCGGACAAGGTCGGTCAATTTGATCAATGAATAGGATAGGTAACGAAAAATGTGACAATGTCAAGCACAAATAGTGCTGAGACGGCGTAAACGGGAACCAGCCTAGGATTGACGATCAGGACCTATTTTGTCAGCAATTGGACCATATAAAGAAAGCGACCTCTTCGGCCACAAAAAACAATAATGGCTCGGAGGCTCTCTGCATTCACATTATAGCCAGTATATAGCACTCATTTTTTTCTCATTTTTTACATAATGCAAGTGCCCATAATACAAAGAACACATCGAAGTAATGAAAATATTGCTGCCGGCCGTTCAGCAAATGTTGTTGAACACCGCAATTTGTCGATTCCTGTCTCAAACCAAAAAATGGCGGATAAGAAAACCTTTGGGCTTGCATCCGTAAAAAATCGTTCTCACTCAAGAACTGAAGCTATTGGATCACCGCCAATTGACAGTTTGGTGTGATTTTTTGGTTTGATGGAATCATCGGTCCGTACCTCTTTCGAACTGAAGCTGAAGTACCGTTAACTCCTTGACGTATCAATTAGCGCAAAGAAAATGGCACCCAACTGCTTGCACTAAACAAGCCAGTTTTGATGCTAACGAACTGTCGCGTACTTGTCTTACAAATTTACAAAAAAAAAAAATACTACGATTTAATTTTAATGTGTAACAAAAAATATGGATAATAACACAGTATATAATGCACTCAACTGCAACAATGTTTTTTGTTTACATTATTAGATGAAAATAACGGGAAAATTTCAATTCTACACTTACACTTCTAAGTCCCACAAGCCTGACTTGTGATAATCATGTTAGGCAGAGAAATTGTACCACAAGCCTGACTCTTGATAATCATGTTAGGCACAAAAATTGTACCACGAGTCAGACTCGTAAAAATACGTCATAGGGATGGTATACGTCCATGGGGAGCGGTATAGATGGATGATAACCAACTTTTTATGGCCGCAATTGAAGGTGATATTGACAGCATCTGTTTCCAAAAAGAGACTGTCCAATACAGCACATTGCACAAGCGACTTATTTCAAGAACGGAAGAAATTTGATGGATGTTATATCCAGAACTTAATGATTCTACTTCACATTAAATAAAAAAATTTTGAATTTCGTTAACAATTGTTGTTTTTTTTTTGTAAAAACATCATATCGCTCTTATTGGAAAAGGCTGTCTTTCAAATGATGATGATTGACGACAGCTCATGTGGTTAATGGACCACTTCTTCAGTCTTGGAGGGAGCGTAGTTTTTTTTCGATGTCCTGTAGTAGTGTGTGTGACCGTCTGAAAAGTCCAATGCTAACTGAGGTGGGGTCTCCCACAGAAATAAAATCGGGAAGTGCATATCTCGATCGAGGTAATTATGGACGTGTGGTCTGATGCGAGAGTTAGCATAGATCGCCAGATTATTCTATTTATCAGACCACCACTGTCAATGGCAATAGGCCAGGCCTCCACCATTATAATATTTGTGACCTTTAAGTATAGTGTTGAAATCTGCGCAACACAGAATATAGGAGCCGCTGCTTAGCTGAGTTTCTTGGACCGCAGCTATCAATACGCTTTCCCGGTTCATAAACGCAACTATCTTCTCGATCTTGGTTTGGAGTCCGTTACAGTTAAATTGTAAGATGCGGGTGCACGTGGGTGATCCTGAAAGTGAGGGAATGGCGTCTAGGTGATGGTTGTTGCAGCTGTAGAATCCGCAGGGGCGGTTGTCGCACTGTTGTGTTGGCTGGCGTAGACTCCTGTAGCACGAGGCAACATACGAAACACTGCACTCACGTATTGTCATGCCGGAACGAATTGGAAAGTTAAGAATAGCCCGTACAAGAATTGCATTTGACTGATGTACCATTCCGTCGTATGACTATCTGACACTGCTGAACGGTTTTCGCACGAGGATTGGAGCGGGATGAAAGTTGGGGTGGGAACAGATCAGAAAGGAAGTCATGTTGTCTACTTGAGTCTTTATAGACCGTGGAGGTCAATATAGGGTCACGTAACTTGTGGTACACTCCTTGTATGTCTTAAGCCCTGAGCAAGTCTTAAAATGGCTCCATCCATTGTACGTATAACACCTGACTGAAATGGAGTTTGGATGTATACACTTGAATATCCCATCTCATCATATCTCATTTTCAAAGATATAACTCAAACGTTGTCAGATATACATACATATATCACTCAGTGATTGGGCGCATAAAAATCCGGTTCCGTTTCGGTTACTTAAACTTCGCTTTCACACTCGAAGTGATTTCAGCAATGTTTTATGACTTTATAACACCAACTTATTACTTTCTCTAGACAATAAAAATTTTATATAATTCAATACAAATAATCTATTGGCTCGAAATTGTACTGAGTTTCAAAATGAGCTTTGATCTTGTGTACCAAAAATGAAACTTTGAACCATAGAGCTCTTCATTTATGCTATCAGAAAAGAAAACCAAAAAAGCAACGCTTTGTGCTGGACAACTCAGAGCCCAGTACAATTAAACATGGGGTATTTTCGAGCAAGCAAATAACTGTACCAATATTGTTACACTCTTGGTTTTCTGCAGATACTCCACTTATCCTTATATTAAAAAAACCCTATTCTATCATTGATTATGTTTAAGTGAAAAATTTAAAGAAAACTGTAATAAAACTCAGCGTTTCAACTGTCAGATATTTGGTCATGATACCAGTCATTAAGCCTCTTTTCATGACTCCAAGTCTACGAAAAGGGAGCTAACGTGCGAAAACTAGTTTTCTGGGAAACAGCTGTTAAAAATCTCATCTTCCATCCGAATCAACTAAAACGTGAAAATTTGATTTTTCGACACTTAAGCCCTCTTTCCGTAGACCAGGTCACATATAAATATTAAGACAACATATCAATTCTATAGTTAGATATCTCCATCGTTATATTCTGTTCGAATGTCATTTGGAACTAAAGAAACAGTACATTATATGTATGTTTTTTAACCGATTTCTAGTTAAAAATAAAGCCATAAATGTATAATCGCGAATATTTTTGTTATCGCAATGATCGTGGCACTTCAAGGGGTTGAGGCGTAGTAATTTTAAATAAGAAAAAAATTCGGTATAATTTGCTTCTTCCATCTAACACTATGCTTATTGAAAACGGCAATCGGCATTCAATTGCGCCAGTATTATCGTTAACTTAGTCATATAAACTGCGAGATATTATAGCATTCCCAAGAAGTGCTTAAGGGCTTCACCCAAGCTACTATCAATAGAAATTCGACAGTTATTGCAACTAAGAAATCATACTGGCAGCGTTACAGATTAATCGTTGAACAAGTTCTGATAAGCTGAAAAAGAAGACATTAAAAAACGAAATGTTAAAACTCCCCATTAAAAACTGGAAAAATTTACTTGTGAAAAGGTCTTCCCCTTTTGGAACAAAACAAAAGATTTTTGATTCATATTTAAAGAAGAAATGAGCATACATTCCGACGTTGAAGAAAATAAAGCTCATGAAAAATGTGTTATTTTTAGTCACTTAACACAGCCATTCTTCTGCTGAAAAAATTAAAACAATAATTTTCGGAAACCTCTACCCAAAAAGGGGTACATTATCTTGTATATATAAAGCATCGAAAAAGGCTAAAATCATAGCAATAAAAAAGCTTGATAAACCATCAGAAACCCCATGCTCTTATCGTCCCATTAGTTTACTCTCATTGATCAGTAAAATACTGTAAAAGGTTGAAAAAAAATTAACAATTTTCGTTGAAGACAGTGAAACTCTGCCAACCCAAAAATTTGGCTTTAGAAATTAATAACAATGTTCATCTTATACAAGGCCAAGCTATAGGCATGGTATTAATGGACATCAAAGTTGCTTTTGATGTGTTGAACACAATGCTCGCGACAGACTGCAAACCTACATCTGTCAAATATTAAAATACACACGTTCTTACGGACAGACCTATTTTGACAGCTGCTACAACTGCGTTGTTTTGTGTACATGCCGGCCATTGTTATGTTGCTGCCCTCTCACAAACGTTCATGTAGTAGGATTCACAACGCCATTTTCAGTTCACTGTCGTGGTGCTGCAGTCTGTCAGGAGCATTGTGTTCATTCACATCACAATGCACATATACAGCTGCGAGCAGTAAAATAGTAGTGGGTAGGCTAAATTTATTACTATACATTGAATTGAATATGTGCAAGATATGTGTTTGAAGGGAAACTTCTTAGGCGGAAAAGGTTGCGTTAAACGTTTAACGCTTCAGTGGAAGGGGAATAGCGTTCAAGAATTAAGGCAACTCGGAAGGAGAAGGGTAGCAAAGAATGGTAGAGTGCGAGAATGGGAGTAAAGTATAGCGCATTGCGTGCAGCGAAGAGCAACAGAGAAAGATAGAGTGCGAGAGAGAGAGAATGAGAGTAAAGTATCGCCAGGCGCATGCTCTGCTATGGCAATACACGTAGCGTGAAACAGCTCCGTAGAATAGTATTAGTGCCCATGCGTGAGTGCATCAAGAGTCCTGTGTATCAAAAATTCTTTTTCTTATTTTCGTATTTTGTTATTAAAGTGTTTCCCATAATTAATTTGTGTTTTATATAATATAGAAGTACTATTTGTAGTATTAGTACACAGTGAATAGTGATTTAAACAAACAATAAAATGAGTGACAGTGATAATACACATAACACAGCGGATTCCAGGTCCAATCTATAATAGATGCACCTTGTGGATTAAATCCTCTTGAAACTAATATCAATTGGATTGACAAAAATTTTAATGGTTTGATTTTAAATTGATTTTACAGCGGCAAAAGACAGTGCAGACCGTGTTTCAAGAGGAGGGAAAACAGCACAATATTATCGTGAATACCGAGCACGAAAGAAAGCAGAGCGGGAAAAGGAGGAATTGGAAATGATAGCTGGCGGTCAATCGAGGAAGAGGAATACAGGTACGGAAGATCAGAGAGAGTACCGAGCACGTAAAAAAAGAAATGTGAAGGTACATTCAGTGATTCAACGTCTGCTGTTCCATCCAACCCAATTCGAAGAGTACAAAAGAGAGATAGTTACGCTGCATATTCCCTTCCACTACGAGACAGAACTACTTTCCGAGTCAAAATTCCTTCAAATTTATGCAGACAATGAGAATATTATTCTAGAGCGTCGCAAGGAATTCGAGTCAAACATCAACATTGAAGAAACTATGAGATTATGCGAACAGTTGTATCGTGAGAAAGAATTATGCAAGAAGACAGTAAAGATGTTATGGGAGCGGTTACTCAGCCAATTCCATTCGATGAAATGTACGCAGACTCTAATTCAAACATCAACGATGATCTTCGCTTAGCAACCGTGAACAGACTCAAAGCAATTGCGAAGCGAAGAGAAAATTTAATGCCGAATGCATAATTTTGTGAATTTATGCGAACAACAATCCTTCATCGAAACAACTTCAACCATTGTTAGTATTTCTGACAGGTCCCTATGGACCTGGGAAAAAATTTGATGAAGTTAGTATGGTTCGAGCAGAGCTTCTGGAAAGAGTCGACAGGACATTGAAAATTATAACAGGTAATTCAGATGCACCTTTCGGGGACTGGACATGATACTATTTGGGGATTTGGCTACACCAATTTTCAAACAATCGAAACATATTGGATCGCAAACTTGGCGTTCAGTCAAACTGCATGAACTCACACTAGTCATGCGTCAAGCAAATGTGGTTTTCTCGACCATTCTAACGAAAATCAGAAATGGGGATGGGTTGAATGATGAAGAACTTGCGTTAGTAGAATCAAAATTTGTGACAGAAGAAGAAGCCAATCAATATATGTCCTCACGGGATTCGACTGGCATATTCTAATGCCACGGTCGACAAATATAATCAATTCATTTTGGCAAATCATCCAGATCGGATCACATCCGCCGCTGTAGACTTCATCTCAGGTGAAAATTATGAACAATTACAGAGCGCTCGTAATGCCGTTGAGAAGAAACACTACCAGCTGCTACAACGTTTAACACATAATCACATCGTAACAGCCAACATCGCAGGTGCTGATCACGTAGAAAGAAACGACAACGGAGAAGTCACTCGAGTATGGCTAGTATTTCCAAATTGTGGTAATACTGGAGTAAAACCTCGTATGACAGCACGATCATTCATGCTAGCAAAAATATCAATCATTTGGCCGTGCCAATTGCCCAACGAAACGCAACAATATATCTTAATAGACAGAGGAGTATATTAGCTAAGAGAAACCACTTTCCACTCGCACCAGCTTGTGGATTGACAATTCACAAGTCACAAGGAGGAACTTTCAATGAAATTGTTTACTATTATGAAAAGGTTCAATCTCAACAGTTATTAGTTAGTTTATGTCGCATTGTCAAGAGCTGTTGACATTGAGGGAGTTTACATTATCTCAGTGAACAAACAGAAAAAATTTTATCATGGCATTGGAAGCAACGACAGGACATGTCGCGCTCTCCGAGATGAAATGATAAAATTAGTCAAAATCCGATTATCACCTTAGAAAAAGAATTATTCGAGTTTCTTAGCGCAAGAAAATGTTCATCAATAGTATCATTCTATTGTCAAAGTCTTCGCGCTCATGTTGATGATTTCTCACATAGAGTGTTTAAACAGTCAAACATCTTGATGTTATCAGAAACATTTATGAACGACAACGAGACTCCTGCATCCACACCAAATTTTGATTTCGTTGTAAGATTTCGACGAAATTAAACAAGAAATTCAGGCGTTGGTATTTATCACAATGAGCAAGATAAATGTCATATTATCACTCATCATTTAGATATAAAGGCTCCGTACACGAGTGATGCTGATGTGAAAATATTAACATCAACAAGAATTGGCGATTTGTGTGCGGTAGAATGCAAAATATACCCTAGCGATAATCATAATAGTAAAAAAATTTGATTTAATTGCCTTTTACCACCAAATTCATCGATTAGAGATATTAAATTGTTCATCGGTAAATCTTTATTACCGCTGTCAACTGCAGGGTTGCAAGCTCTTGCAGATATTATCGGAGAACCAGTAGAGTGTAGCGTACTCCTTGCGGGACATTTCAATGTAAATTTCTCATTGCCAAAAGCTGAACCATTACTGGCATTTCTTAGAGAGAAATTTTCATTAGAAATAATCAATGGAAGAACTATTGATGAGGTATTCGCGAGAAATACAGATAAAATAGATGTAAGACATTTTATATGGTATTTTAGTTATCATAATTCAATTGTAAATATTATAGATATCAATCCGTCAGAACCCAGAGATGATAATTGATTTGGACTTTGCTTTATAATAAATTTATAAAATGTGAATTTAAGAAAATGTAGGTCACTCCACCATATTTTTATCCTTTCCCTCTCTCTAGTTTTCTTTCATACAAAATGATATGCATTTCTTGGAATATAAATAAGACTCCACGCACCAGTTTTTTTTTTTTAATTGTGTTTATGTACGAAAATTGTTGGGAGCAGTAAAATAGTATTAAATTTTTTTTTAATGCTGAAGTATTTTTGCAAGTTTCGTCTATACGAGATGTTAGTACTTGGTAGCATGGCCATGATTTTTGATAACAGCAATACAACGCATCCTCATGGAATCTACGAGACTCTGGCATCCATTAAGTGGTATGCTCTACCATTCGCGTAAAAAAAGGAATTTGCGCTGCAAAAATAACCGCGTTAAAGTGAAATAGCGTAAAAAGAGATAGCGTAAAAAAGGACTGAGTGTATATAAAATTGCTTGGATTTCGATCCTCATGTTGACGTTTTACACCTTGCGCTATTTCACTGGTTTTGATTCTTGTAAGTGGCAAGAGTAAGGTTGCATCCGAACTTAGCCCTTCCTTACTTGTTTTTTGAAATATTTTTCTCAACCATTCTGCAAAATTCTTTTTTAGAGCGATTGAGAAATTATGTGCTAATGCCTTTAGTTGTTTATATTTTGTTTGCCCACAGCATCAATGGTTTCCGGAACAGAAACTGATTTTGGGCGATCTCTACGAAATTCGTCTCAGAGTGATCAACGACCTCGATTGGATTCATCATATCATCGATGAACACTGGCTTCATAGCTTCATAGCTAAAATTGCTGAATTAGGTTCATCGATGCACTGTTTCTGCTATAAAAAAAATCTCTCGAAATGTTCCCGCTAAATTTGTGGCCAGTGGGATTATTTTAAATAACAAAAATAGCGCTCATATGTAAGAACGTTCTGAATTTTTATACTAACAAAAATGTCACAGTTTACAAATTTGTTCAAAGATATACCAAATATCACGGTGCCATTTTGACACACTATGCGTAGAACCTCCTGTATCTGCTTTTACGTTTCACCTTCTCTCTCAAACCATTTTGAGGTTCGATGAAACTACTTGTGTCCGATATGCATTCGAGATTTGGTGCTCATGGATTCCAAGTGTTTTGTGTCGGATCTGTGTTAGAGATGGGCGTTTACAGAGAAAGTGGAAAATTGTTTCCTTGTTCCCTGCTACTCCGCAGCCTCGGCAGATGTCGTTGTAGGGCATACCCATTTTTGACGCATGTTCCCCAAATGGCCAGTGCCCTTGTTACTCTGTAGATACCTTTTCTTGACATTTTTAATAAGTTGTTGGTTCTTTTCCTGTCGTATGTATAGTTGCTTTATGTATGTATATTCTCGTGGTTTTCTAATAGAGCTCCGTAGGCTTGTCCTATGAATAGTACTGCTGCTTGGAAGATGCTAGCCGAGTTCGGTAGACGTATAGAGAGAGATATGCCTAGATCAGCGGAGAATACCCCAGTGCCTACTCCGCAGTCCATTTTTGACCCGTCGACTGAGATGGTATCCTCCTCTCCTATTGAACCTGTTATCCATTCTCGTCTAGATGGTATTCTCACCTGGAAATGTCTATTGAAATCCAGCTTTGGGAGAATGTAGTCTGATTTGTTAATGGCGAGCTTGTTTAGGATTACACTATGTCCGTGGTTCTACTGATTCCAACCGCCCAATTCTTTTATTATCGCTGCAAGAGCTGCTGTTTTGTGAATAAAAATGTCGATGGGTACATGATGCAGGACCACATTGAGCGCGTCAGTCGGGCATGACTTGATTGCACCAGTAACACCCGCACATGTTGCTCTTTGTATTCCATTTAATTTTGTTTGTTTAGCGCTGGCCACCATACCAGAGCTCTATATCGTCACCTGAAATGCAAAATATCATTTAATCAAAAAATTCGAAATTGAGTGTCTTATTGATTACGCTTCACTACTTCAAATTACATACATAAAATTACATATGTTCAACACTTTCTGGTTCTGCGGTTAGATATAAAACAGTTTTAACCAATATTACAATTTTATGTCACTCATCTTCCATTTTATTTCGTGTTTCAGTCGTGCCACTGTAAATTTCCGAAAATGTTGTTACGTTATTTTGCATTTCAGGTGACGATATGTAAGTATAGGTCTTATGACAGCCGTATACATCCACATAATTATACTTGCTTTGAGGTCCCAATTCTTGCTGACGATTCTCTTACAAGTATAGTAGGCCATGTATACTTTATTTATTATTTTTTCTATATTTATTTTCCAGGACAGTTTGGTGTCAATCTCTACCCTCAAGTATTTAGCTGTGGGGGATAGTGTGGGTGTTGTACCGTTTAGTATCGGAAGTTGAAACTGAGGTGTTTTGGTTCTGCTTGTGAAAAGCGTCAGTTCTGTTTTGTTAGTGTTAACTCCTTGTCCATTGTTTTTGGCCCATAGGTTTAACCTTCGAAGTGCTCTTTCCATAATCTCGCTGACTGTTGAAGGAAACATGCCTGATATCAACAACACTATATCGTCTGCATATGCTACTGCTTTCACTCCTCCACCGTTTAGATGTAGTAGTATTTCGTTCAGCGCTACAGGCCCTCCTTGAGGTGTCCCTCTACTCACATAACTTGTTTGTGTTGCAGCACCGTTCGACGCTATAATCTTTCTATTCTCAAGCATCGGTAGTATCTATCTGCACACAGTGTCATCATGTTATTGAAGGCGCCCTCTATATATGGAAAAGCAGAAATGGTGCATTCTTTGTGGTGTAGTGATTCTTCAATTACACTTATCAACTCGTGAAGGCAGTTTCAGTTGATTGGCTCTTTATGTACGTAGTACGCATGTTGGGACTTAGATAACTTATCCGCCATTATTGTTCTTACATATAAGTCTATTAGCCTTTCTAGTACCTTCAGCATAAAGGAAGTAAGGCTTATAAGTGTAAAATCCTTGGCATTCTCGTGGGTTCTTCTGCCTGGTTTTAGAAGGAACACAACTTTAATTATTTTCCAACTTTCTGGGATGTAAGGTAGTTGAATGCTATCGTTGTATATATTTTCCAGCCTTTGAACCATTGGTTCTACCAGCTTTTGCAGCATTATGTGGAAAATCCCGTTAGGACCTACCTACAGTTTTGCACCATTTAAAAAAACTATTTATTTCATACTTGATTTTGCTTTTGTCTACTATTTGATTTCGGTAATCAGCTGTGTTTAACGGTGGTCCTGGTTGAACCCTCGTTAAAGGTGTATGGTTTGCCGAGGAGGTCCAATCATTTCCCTCCGCCCTAATGTAGGCAGTATTCGTATGATCTTTGGATAGCATTTTGCTTACAGTTTCTCTGCAACTTTCTATCGGTGTGCAGAAAGATTCATGCAAAAGACGATGAGTCGTTTTTAGCTTTCCTGTCTGCTTTTTTGTAACTTTTCATAATATCTTTATATGGCGGCCAGATTTTGGTTCCAAAACTCTAATTGAAAGCTTTCCTTAGTTGCGTTCTCAAATTCTTGAGTTCACTGTTCCACCAATTAAGAAACTTTCTCTTTTTCAGAACTTTGAAAGTTGTGGTTAAGATTTTTTCCAACTTCTCTACTTTTAAATCTAGTTCCTAAGGATTACTAATACTCTTATTGCCTCTCTTTTCAAGGCATTTTGTTGTTATACTGGTTAACCGGGGTTATGTCTTCGTCATGGGCCAAGGAGGCCGAGACTAAGAAAAAGGGATTTTCCTTCTGTTCCACCTTTACCACTCTGATATCTGCTGTGCTGTAATTAGGACAAAGAAATGCATTTATACTTCTATTGATAAGAATGCATGCCCTAGGTTTACTTTTGTTCCGTGTGTAAAAAAGGTTATAGTTGCTGCTCTTTAGCCCTTTTATGGTGTCTTCATTGACCCAGGGCTCCTGTGTTAGGCAGATGTCGATGCCCCCTCCTTTATGAGGGTTGTAAGATTCGCTGTAGCACTCTCTTAAGTTATTGGGCATCTCGGGTTTCTTTGATGCCCACATTCCTTAGCAACTGGCAGGCAACAGCTATCCCTGGCTCCTTCGCAGAAATACCTTGCCGTTGTTGTACTGCTATGTTCACCTTCACTCATTATCATTGCTATTACAAACTCACCATATTGTATATATTTGTACATTTGCATGTAGCCACGAATTTTTGGTTTGAGTATATGTGAATATGTGTTGGAAGATGGTCTTATTGTAGTTCTATGGGCAAGAAATAGTAAAACTTTTTAATTTAAATTTCGCGCGAAAACCCAATCGTCGAAATATTTTTTTCTAGGTTGGATGATGATAAAGTGTATTTGGCGGTTTTTACGAGGAGTAAAACTGTTCAACAAAAAAAATCCGTCAAATTTTGTGTGCGAAATCAAATTTCGGATGCTGAAACTTTCAGAAGGGCTATCGGTGATAATTGTTTATAGCGAGCAAGTGTTTTTGATTGGTACAAATTACACTGGATCACAAATTTGAATTTGTTTTTTCTTACACGGATGCCACTATCCAATTTGTATGTGAAATGGCTCGCTGATTTCGAAAATCGAGTAAATTTTTTTTTATGGATACGGTTTTGAGATATTTGCAATTTACCGTTATTCGACCAAAAAAAAGGTGTCTTCATTTAATCATGTATATCTCACTGACCAGTTGAGCAATCTTACTGCAAATTATAGAAAATAAAAGTGAATGAAAAATATTCTCTACTCCATTTTGCCATAGGCCTTATAATTTCTGAGAAAAAAATTAAAAAAAAAAATAAACTTTGGCAAGGAAAAAATTTTAAAACAAAAGATATTTTTTAAGTGTTTTTTTATTTTATATGAAGTCCTGTTTCTTTATAAAAAACTAAGCTACCAACGAACAAAATCCTTGGATAAATAGGAAAGTTGTACATGATCAAATAAATATATCCAAGTCGCGCAAAGTCAATGTATACGTATATGCGTACGTGGTGTGTAAAGTACGGGTGGGATATCTAGCTATGCGCTGTTTCTGTTAAGTAAAAAGTCAATTTTCATGTCGTTTTTAGTTTTTATAAACTCATTTATTTATATATTAGTAATATATATTAAAACAATGTGTTATTTTTGTCTTAAGTTGATGTTCTTACATTATAGTCGAAATGATTATGTGTTTTGTTTTGTCGTTTATTTAGTTTAGGATCGGTTTCTCTTATGAGAAACCAACAGTAGTCCCCCCATCATGCCGACGTCCCAGAAACCTTGGTATCGATTCTCAATTAATTTCATTTGCTGGTGAAACCTTTCGCCGTGCTCGTCACTTTCGTCTCCGAGATTTGCCGGAAAAAAACTTAAATGGGAATGTAGAAAATTAAATTTTAAAGACATATTTACGCCTGGAGAAAAAAGCAAATGTAAATAAGTAAATTATAAAATTTTATATAATTCAATTAAATAAGTTTTGAATAATCACCCATTTCTGCATAATTTTTGATTAAGTCGCT